AGAAGAAAGTCAACTTTCTTATCCTCTTTTTATACAACTCTAATATTTTACAACAAACGCAGCATTGGTAGTAAAATTACACTCTACAGAAATACATAAAGGACAAACACAAACCATTAAAGTTAACTGTGGCGTTGGAATGTTTTCAAATTTCGATTGAGATATTACAGTGCAAGATGTTCTCATATCCAAATGACAGAAAAAGTCAACGGGAAATTCACGACATGTACAAGAGGAAAAGATGAGTGTTGGGATAGCATAAAGATCGACAAATTCAGCATTTGAAGGAGTTATGGAGGCACAAGTCACAATTAGACTTTCTCTAAGGAGAGTTGGGTTAAACAGCAAAAACAGAGGTAGTTAACTTATTTGTATTTAAACGATTGTTTTTGCTTTTTAGACCAGCATCTACGCCGTGGACTTTCTGAAAAGGTCGGAGGTTTTACGCGCACTTATTTGCACGACCGCAAGAGATCAGATATGCAAACATTGGCCGTTTTAGAACACCTAAGAGAAGTTAGCAGAAAGGTCTGGTTGCAAAAAAACCCCCAAAAAACTCCTCTTGTTTGTGTTTCTTTAAACCAATTGCAGTTGTAGTGGGCGGAGCTAAACCCAGGATGTAGTGATGGTGTCTCTGCAAAATAGCGACAGGGGAAGCTTGTGTTGGTGATATAGTGTCACGACAAAAACTACAATAACTAATCCCCTGCAAAAGAATATGTTTAGGATGTATCACGGCGGCTGTTGCGGTTTCAACCTACTTTAAAGGTCTGAAGAGAAGCCAAACCTGTCGTCCTGAATTTCCCCTTTTCAGTGTGTAAATTGCTGCTCTGAGGTTGTTAAAGTCCTTGTGAGGTCGGGCTGACATTCACTTTCAGTAGCATCATGGAAGTCATGAGGCGGGAACCACAGACGCAGTTTTGTGGCCCAATAAGTATTATATCTCAGGCTTTGCTGGTTGAGCTTGTGACTCAAAAACAGAGCAGGTGAGTCACTAACCTTGAACTTCTCTACAGGCTCAAAACTGAAGAAAAGATTCCTCCTTTCAGCTGCTCATCATTATGACCTGATAGAAGATGTGGCTGGCTTTGAAAGAAGAGACTAGCCTGTGTCTACATGCAGTCTATATTACCATTCAGTGAGATTTCAGATTTCACTCCTCAACCCGTATTAATTCTCGGTGCATTGACCTCCGGTACATATCTTCTCTTTTACAGCTCATACTGCTCACTACGTGTGTGTGTGTCTACATTTTAAATCCTCCCATTGTGAGCGAGTACTTCATGTCCTGGTGGACTCGCACAGAGTGTTTGGAGAGTGACTGGTCCCTGCTCTTGCCGAGAACTGACCCGAAATGGAAACTCTTTCCGTGTCCTTTTCCAGAAGAGCATTCTTTAGCAGCAGCCTCACCTCGACTAATCCCACTCCAACCGCCAGAAACACACAGCCAGTATCCCCACCACAGCACACCCACACACACACACACACACCCCAACCCCGGACATATTATAAGCGCTGGACTTTGTGAATTTTTTAAACTTCTGGGGGGAAGTTTTCATATCCCCAAACTCTTAAGTAAACTCGCCAAAAAGGGTGAACACACATTTTAACTTACAGGAAACACTTTATCTAATTGGAATCTCTGACATTTCAAAAAGGTGCATGTGGTTTACGGGACATGCTCTCTGGAACTTATCGCACCCAAACAAACAAGTTTTCAATGCATTCGGCATAAATTCAGGACACAATGCCATTTCTGGCTTTGCAATTCCACAGTCCGGGATAGAATTAAACCCGTAACCCTTTGCAAAAGTATGAATCATGTTCTACACTCTGAGCTACAGGAGCCACCACCCCGGGGGCAAAAATGTTAGGGATTATTTGAAATCCAAGCTACCAATGAGCAGCCGGGCTTTCAAGCTATCACATCCAGCGGAGTTCTTGAATAATGGCCGTATATTTATGTATTCCGCCTTCTGTTGTGCGCCGAGAGAACCGTCCTCGGCGCATCGAGTGTAGTTTCAGACAGCTGATGAATGCAGAAGACTTTTGATCAAAGATTGCAGTTGTGGCAGGGGCAGCGCTGCTTTGTGTGGGACTGAGTTGCATCTCGGAGATTAATTTAAGCTGCTTTCCTTGTGGGCCGCGTAAAAAAAAAATAAAAGGTTGTTTTTATGAGCAGCAAGCCAAAACAGCTGAGGTTTCAAGGTGGAGGGAGTGCGGGGGAGACATCAGGGAGACATTAAAAAAAATTACAGAGGGTGAGTTTCTGCTGAGGACGTGTCGGGGAAGTGGAGACAGATGAAAGTTAATATAGAGTTTATTTATTACGCTGATTCCTTCAGGTGAAGCGAGCGCCTTTGTTTTGAGTTCTGCTGCGAGAAACTTCTAATTAATTGCAATTTATTGTACTTTTTTTAAAGCTGGTGTCGACGCTGCATTCACTTCAACAAGATTCCAGACATTCCGTAGGAAAGCACGCAGAGCTTTCACTTCATCAACTGTATAATTACAGCCGTGTGAGGATTATAATACAGTGTTTTCCTAATGGAACACCAAAATAATTAATTTTGGGGTTCAGCTACATGGAAAAATAAACTTCTGGCTGCTTGGTTTGATTTGAAAGCCCCTCCATGCTATTGGGAGACATGTGATTGATTTAAGCAGTCTGCGGTGACCCCAGAACGACCAACTCGCAGAAATTAAAGCAGCAAATGAAGTCCCGCTCTGTCGTCAAAGGGGGGGTCATGCTAAGCATGTGCAGTATAAACGACAAAGTAGAAATGATTGGAATGAATTAGTGAATGAAAAGCCAGATCGCTGAGGTCCTCCATCGATTTTCCTTTAAACGTCCCGTATGCGTCCCATAAAAGTGTCCGTGAGGCTGCAGTCGGATTTTATGCTCCTGAACGGCCTCTTGATCAGAACAGCAAGATCTTCGGATACTTCAAAAGAAAAAGACTTATCGTTCTCTTATGGCTTTTCATCTAAAGTAGCCCAAGTTTACAAGTACTCGTCTTTGTTTCATTAATGATTTTTTCCCCTGTTATTTGTCTGTTTTCAATATTGCATTATCTTACTGCTGTATGTGTTTAAAACTTGCTTCGTTGTTACAAAAGGTGCGACACAAATTAAGCTGAAAACTATTTTTCTTGCTATTTGTGTTTAGTAAATCTGGATCTGATGTTGCCATGATGGTTCTGAAGAGGGTGACGCATAAATAAAGAGACAAGTGATCGCAAACTGTCCAGTAGCATTAATTTCTGAGGGTATACAGCATTTTTAGTACCAAGCACTATAAGGGTTTGCAAGTTCAAATCTTAGCAATTACAGGTCCTAATCCTAATAATCCTTACAGTCCTTACACTACATTATTGTCTGTCCAGTAGTTTGATGTGATCCAACAAGGTGTTACTGAGCCTGGGTTCACTTCCAACTTGTCACAGACGACTACTTTGTCAAGACTTTGGCACCACATTTAAGATGCTGGATACCCTTTAAAGTCATCTATTAACGTTGCAGGTAGTTCCCTAGACCTACGAACAAAACTAATCTCAGAAATAGATGCAAGGAGGCCAAACATAATGTAATCAGTGCCACTCTTTGTCAGGTAAAGACAAGTTTGCTTAATGCGCTTAATGTTGTGGAAAAGTGTATTTTGCCCCAAAGCATGACCTTTTTCGAAACGTAACCAAGTACTTTTGGTGACTAAACTTGACTCAAGTCTCAAAACAAAGTGACACAACAAACAATCTGACATTGGACACCAACCTCAGTCCTGTGAGTGATGCATCCTCAGCTCCTCTAACGTCCTGATGAGCCTCTTGCATCCCTTGGAACCTTAAAACCTGCAGGAAGATTTAAAAAGACAAAAAAGAGAAGTAACTAAATGGACAATTTGATAACATTTTTTAGAGCCAGAAACCACAGAAGACACAAAAAGCAGTCAGGGAACTTTTCAGCAGTTCTTAAACTAATCATATGTGTACAAATGGAAAAAACCCAAACAAGTCTAAGTTTAAAATCATAATATTTCATGCTAACATACCAAAAACAAACCAATTGCACTAAACATATTCTGTAAATAAGAATAAAGAACCATGAGGACATTAGTGACTCAACTGTCATCAAAACTGCAAAAACTGAGGGACAAAAAGTATCAAAGAAATTCATCTTGCTTTTTCTTTTTTTATGGCACTATAACTGTGTCATCCTGCACAAAGGACATTATTGAATTCTCCCTACTTCTGTCTGTGTCTCCCTAGAGGTACACAACTTTAAATTGCATTTAAAAATGAGCCCACAGTCGGTAAAATTATGACAAAAAACCTCCAGAAACTGCTCGGAGTTTGGAAAGCGGGCAAACTTTTACGCAACTACTGGGATCGAATATGAATACAGGTGGCACCAACGACACCGGCAGCATTTGACGCCCTGGGAACGAGAACGTCTTGTGTTACCACGTCACCACAACGCTGTTTATCCACCTCCAAATATAGCGCATCAGTGTTTCTACTCGCCGACTAAAGTTAAACAAATGTGAACTCTGTCTCTCGCAAATCCACCAGTGCTGGTTTAAGTGATTGCGCTGAAACAGGAAACGCATTCTTGAATTAGTCAGTCACGCAAGCTTCAGCGGGAACTTTTTTTTTTTTGGACAGCGAGCCGGCGAATCCGAACGCAACTGGGGCTGCTTACATGTGTTCACTTGAGTTTGCATGCGAGCGAGGCATATTAGCGAAGGATCAGCAGACATGCACTCTCCGCAAAAACTCGCAGAATCTGTGTGACACATCATAGCTGCACACACACACACATATATAGACTCCACCTCCCAGTGGTTCAGTGATTGGCCTACTTAGAGGCAGGACAGCTCACTGGCAGATTTGAATACAGGGAAACAGAACGGAGAGGACTGGACAGAGGAGGAGGGGAAAACAGAGAAGGGGGGCGGTGCACTAGTTTGTCCCGTCTCTCTCTCTCTCTCTCTCTCTCTCTCTCTCTCTGTGTGCCGGGTCAGGATGGAAAGGCTTTACACAGGCAAGGGGAGGAAACATGTCATGAGAGGTGATGACACAGCCACGGAGACGTATCCACATCCTCGCTGACTCCCAAGTTCGCCGCTCGCTTTCGCCTCTGCTGTCCCTGCATCCCACAGAGGAGAAGAAGAGAGAGAGCCAAAGATAGCTGCCATTCTCCTCTCCCTCCACCTCTCCTCTCTCTCTCTTTTTTTTTTTTTTTCACTTTTGTTTGTGGATGATGGGATTTTAATCATGTGGAAGGTAAGAAGAAGAAGAAGGAGGAGGCTTGTTTTGTGTGCTTGCTGTGCTGAAGGGGGGGGGTGTCTCAGAGGGAGTTTGTGTTCTTCTTGAGTTTACTTAAGTCTGCCGTTCCCCGGGGGATTCCCGCATGCTTTCACCCTCAATCTCCAGCTCTAAGTGTATTCTCAGTGGAAATGAGAAGTGGAAGCACTGAGTGCCAGCATTACTGGAATGATAATGACAGAGCAGTGGCTTTAGGAGTCAGCCAGTGAGGATTGTGAAACCGTCTGTATCATAGTTGAGAAGAAACTTCACTTGCTTTGTTTCTTTAAATCACAAAACTCTGATTTAAATGCGTCTTCTATTCTTCGAGCAGTTGTATTCCTCACTAAAATATGTCGCCCAGAATGATAGAAATAGAGTTTTGTTTGTTTGTCGAATGCTTCACAGGTATTGACTTGAGATATTGACCAGGGAAAGCACTTTGAATGTGTGGGTGGAGTAGCGTCGCATGTGAGTCTGTCTTTTGTGACCCACTTTTCAAAGAGCCACTGTGTGTGTTTTGGTGCTCGCTTGAAGCCCAACACACATAAAGACAGGAGACAGTGCCTTAAGGGATGCTTCAAATGTGAGTGCTGGAAGTGCGTGTGAGGATGTGCGTGAAAGGAGCTTTAAAGGTCCTGAATGTTTGGTCTTTTTTTTTTTTTGGAGTTTAATTTAAAACGGCGTATGTTAATCTTGGATGGCACTTTCCCGCTATGAATACATCACACAGCACCTTTTTGATCGTAAATCCTGGTGCGGGTCATGCCACCGTACGCTCTCTACAACTCGCTGTGTTTTTATGAGCCTCCCCAGAGGTCAAGTTATTCAATTTCACCGCATCTCCGGTGTGCTGAGGCGTGTTCGTATCGGCGCACGCGTGTGCGAATGTGCATGCGTCTCGGCGAAGCGTGTGCGACAGCTGGCGCGGTGCCGCCGCTGATCCTGTTCACCTGCTAGGGGTCAGGGGATCAGGGAAAAGCCAGGTTGGGTGTGTTTCTTCTGCAATGAGGAACTCGAGGGCGGAGGGACTGTGATGGCGGTTTGTGGAATTAGCTTAAGCGACGGGTGTCACCGTTGCCTGAGCAAAAGAAATGCATAAACAGTGTAAGTTTTGTGGGCGATTCTTCAGATATTAGTCTGAAAAATCTATATTTTGTTAGAAAGTTTTTAATCATCTGAACTCCTGGTTTGAAAAAGCATGTTAACTTTTAAAAAATCAACAAAATTACAGCATTAGTTGTGGAAAAAAACTGTACTAACAGAGAGAATGCTTAGATTTTTAACTTTCCTACGATCTTTAAACTACTTCTTCTTGACTGTACCATCAGAAAATATCACCAAATCTAAGCTTAAAATCGTGATGTTTCATTTTTACGTGTCTAATTTCAATATCCTTGAAAAATAAACTTGTTGCACTGACCAGATTCTGTAAATAATAAAAATAAAAAGTGTCACATGACAAAAATTCCATGACTTTTTAGCTGAACTAGGCTGAACTGCAGGCTGTGTCTACACTGGAGGACAGCATGAAAACACATTTAAAGTTTAACTGGTAACATATCTAAAGCATTTGGAGCCCATACATAAGTTCAGTTTTATATTTTTTTCTCTCTCAAACTTCTGCTAACACCTGTAGAAACTTGGAAAAATCTTGGCAACATCTTTGTACAACAAACAACTAAACAAATCCAACTCTTGAAATCACACAAACTCTTCCGTCCTACAAAACAGACATGAAAAGTTAACTTATATCCGTACAGTGTGTGTATAAGTTTGCCGTTTGCTACCTCCCACATTTGCTTTGACAAACACAGACTACAAAAAGGCTTTGTTTGAGGTTTTGGTTTGCAGTTGTCAAGACGTCGACCAATATAGCAACAATAGTATTGTTGCTGTTTCTTTTCCTGTTTCCCCTGACATGTTTCAGTGAGACATTGTCAGCCTGGGCAGGCTTGAGAAAAGCATCTGAGCTGTCAGATCTTTCGGCTTCTTTTCCCCTCCCACCTGAAGATTGACTGTGGGAACTACGTAGATAAATATAGCAAAGAGGAATCTGTTTCCCTGCGTGGGACACTTATGGCAGTTTGTGTATTTGAAGGTGCATTCTTGATCTTGTTAAAAATTTTTGTTGCTTAAATCAGAAGGAATGTGGTTTTCAGGAAAACTTTGCTGTGTGTTGCTGATAGCATTCGCCACCAAAGTTGCCCCCCCTGAAATATTCTGTTATCTCACCAGCGTGTAGCTTACATGATAAAACGGGGAGGTACAACTCGTGAGACTCTTATCTCCCCCTAATTGGTTAATTTGATCTTCAAAGCGTCAGCAGTCGCCCACTTCAGACGCTCGAGGGGCAAACTGCTAATTGCTATCTAAACATCCTTGAAAAGGGACAAAGACATCCTGGAATATTTTTTTTTTCCTCTCTCTCTCTCTCTCTCTCTCTCATTCTCACTCTATTTCCACTCCAGATCAGTTCATTTTATCCACCCCAGTGCATTCTTTAATCACCAACCGAATAAGATGAGAGTGCAACGTTGCCATGGAGACTTCAGAAACTGTGACAATGAGCACAATCGGTTCAGTGAAACTTGGCAGTTTGTGCAGTCCTGTGGAGAGGATAAGTGGTTCCTCTAACTTTTTTTTCTTTTTTTTGGAGGAGGGGGGGTATTTTACTGTTGTCAGGGGCCTCTCCAGTGTGTGTGTGGTAGTGTGGTATTACCCAAAAGTTGATAACATTTGATCTATAAATATATCATCAGAGCTTGCTCCACTTTTCCTACAAAGTCATTTTAGACACAAAGGCAGATTTTGTTCTACTGAAAGGCAGGCGTCCTGTGTAATCCGCTGTACAAATATTTAATACATGTTTTTTCTGAGTGTAGAATTATACCACAATGCATTGCAGAGAAAGTCCTCCACAAGGCAAACTCCATTTACTGTAAAGCGGTGTTAATCTGGGGAAAGAAAACACAGACTGACCTTTTGTTTCCACACGAAATAAAAAGTGAAAATGAAACTCTGATGACATATTATTGTGTAGATGCAACTTCAAAGATCAGGATTAGGTACAATCGCATCACTTTTTAGCTGTATCGGCAAAGATCTAAACCTGATTGACCTCGACTGTCACACAGGTGTCATGAAAGGAAAGCACAATCAGTGGCTCGATGCTACGGACGCTACTTTCTAAATTAATTCACAGAGTTATTTATTGATGATGGCTAAATCATGAACACTGAAACTGGCATTGGAGTCAGTAGACACATAATATGGACTGCAAAGGTGGCCCTGCTACATATGCTCATAAGATATAGGCACGATGTCATTGCTGATCCTGGCTTGTCTCAAACAAATACGCTCTGGCCAGACGTCATTAACTGTCACTGAAGTCTTTGTCATGGTGGCCTGTTGCTAGCTTAACCCCCATAATGCCTGCATGTCAACACGGAACTGCCCAAATAACCATTGCTTCTGGCCACGACAGTATTAAAACATTTAAGGCTCCATCTGGTGGAATAACCAGGTACTACAACTAATCGACAACACATTTTCTGACATGCACCCACACAATGCAGGTTTGTCATTTCAGACAGTGCCCGACTGAAGTCTTACAACAAGGTTTGTGAGCACCTATGTAACTTTAAGGAACAATTTGGATGCAGAAAGTTTTTCTAAATGCATTGCATCACTTGTCAGGCATACACAGTGGACTCATTATTGTTTTTAACTTTAATGTGCATGAAGTGCGTATTAGCAAGGAAAATGGTCTCAAATTGGTACTCGATATTGGCTGATGGTATCAGCTAGGGACCAAAAAACTTGATTGAGACATTATAGATTATTCTAAATCACCTAAAAAACTAAATAATTCAACCAATAAATGTCTTGGTGTGCTAAGTTCTTGCTCAACAACCTGCATATGTCTGATTGGTGGATCCTCCACCAGCCTAAAATACCTTTCAGCTGATTTAGCTTCGTGACTTGTTGCCCTCCATGGCTCCATAATGCCACGTCTGTTAGTGTTCGTGGTTCCTGAAAGAAACAGTATGTACTGAACCAATCCGCAATCCAGACACGATGCAACAACCCGGGACAGACTATGAAAACAAGGAGACAGCATGCTGACAGATACAAAACAGCAAGCCAACGTGTTAACAAATGCTGTGGATATAAAACAAGATTTTAGCCAACTGTGTTTCTTGCTGCCATCAGGTGGAAACCCCAGGATTCACATCAGCAGCCAACCATCTGAATCTTCCTCTGGAAGTCCGCTAAAGAAATACACTTAAATCAAATATCTGCTATCATAGCTATCAGGTGATCTCTCAACTTTATCTAAGATTCAGACATTAAACTGCATTTTATCAAACAAGTGAGTTACTGGTGCTTTTGACTGATGCTGCTCTGCAGTGGAGAGAACAGGTGGCTGCGGTTATTCTAGGTGAGCTTGAGGATTCATCTTCATTCCAGGGCCCACGTTAGAGCAGCCACACAGCCTGCATGAAACACATCCATCACCTCATCTCCCAAAAGTGAAATCCGTAAGAAAACATGCACCAAAACTAAGCAGCGTAGTTAGGAAAAATATCACATGACACCCTTTTATATTATCTTTGACGCTTTACTACATTTATTGGGTTACCAAGGTGACGAGTCCTGCCTTATATATAACTGGTTGGCTGATAAGTAGTGATAGTAAAGTGATAAAAAAAGATCTGAAACTAATTGTGACAAGCCAATAAAACATGTCTGCTGAACTTCTTGAGTTGGTCACAAAACAGTGAAATCCAAAATTTCAAAATGATTAAACATTATGATATTGTTATAGGAGATACTAGTTTAAATGAACCATTCTGGGGATAGTGGGGGTCAAAAGTCTCTGGCACTGACACTTTTGGGGTGTGTTTGAGAAACCCTGATGTGGAAATTCAGCTTGCTGCCTAGTTTTTTTTTTTCCTGCATCATGCAAGTCCGCT